GGTTTCCGCACATGTGAAGTGGACAGGCAGCGTGTGACCCTGTCCAACCGTCACATGGAGGGGATGACCAACCCAGTGGGGCTAGTGATGAGAAGAACCCCAGGGCAATTCGGATGGAGAAGCCCCTGAAGGTGATGGCGTCCAGGATGACCAGCAGGTTGAAGAGGAGGCAGCTGTGGAAGAGGAAGCTGCCCAGGAGTCCTCAGGCGTTGCTGGCTAGGGGCCATTTAGCCCTGACCTGAAGGAGAGGGTCAGGCAACTAGAGAAGCAGCTGGCAGATCTAGTATTTGGGAAGGTGAAGTCAGGTAGCTCTTTCCAGGGGGTCAAGCTAAGGCCAACTGATCCACCCAAGTATGCCGGTGGTAACAGAGCCGTTGTCAAGGACTGGCTAGCCACGATGGTACAGTGGTTAGGCTTGGGCAGCTGTGTGCCAGAGCAGAGGGTTCCCCCCGCCCAGACTTTCTTGACAGGAGGTGCAGCTAATCTCTGGAGAGCAAAGAGTGCTGCCCTCCAAGTCCAGGGTGTTGATATCCAGGATTGGGATGTCTTTGCCAGAACCCTGGAGCAGGCCTTTGGGCACCAGGATCCAGAGCAGAATGCAAGGGACAAGTTGGATGTCCTCAAGCAGACTGGCTCAGTGGAGGATTATGCTGACAAGTTTCAGTCTTTGCTGGCTGAGATTGTTGCCATGCCTCCCTCAGAGGGTGACTTGCTGCAGAAGTTCAGAAATGGGCTTAAGGCAGACATTCAGATGGCAGCAAGCATTGACCCTGTCACAGGCACTAGGTGGATGAATTTGCAGAAGTTCATTTCTCTTGCTTGTGCTACTGATGCTTCTAGGGCCCAGACTACTAAGGGGAAGCAGGCCAGTGACAAGTCAGAGCAGGGAAAGTCCTCTTGTTCAATGGCTAGTTACAAGGATAAGCTCAAGGGCAAGAGGCCCCATGAGTCATCCCAGAGCCAGCCAGCCAAGAAGTCTAAGACAAGCCAAAATAAGCAGAAGTCAGAGCAGAAGGCTAAAGATTGGGAGCACAACTTCGCGTGCTTCCTTTGCCACAAGCCAGGCCACAGGGCTAAGGAGTGCCCTGATAAGCCTAAGAACAGCAGAGTGGATTTTGCGAAGGCCAAGTAAAGGAAAGTGAGGCTTTGCTTGGACAGATAAGTCAGAAGATTAACTGTGTGAAGAACCAGAGAGTTGATCTCTCCCCTGAAGTGTTTCAGCAGGTTCAACAGTTAACCGGAAGAGACTTTACGAAGTTCGTGAGCTCTAAAGGTGTTCTTCATTCTTCAGACTTCCACTCACTTGACCAGATGTCCTTTCATGATCTCTCTAGCCATCATTCTTGGTTGAATGCAGTCAGAAGCGGATTAAGATCTTGTTTGTTACATTATCAAGACTGTAAAAGGAAAGCTCCTTCTACAACCTCGGCTTGCATATTAGTACCCAAGCGCAGACGTGGCTCTGTGGGTACTCTGTTGCATCGATGGACAGTGGTAATGGAAATACCCACTGGTCAATTGATACATGTGTGGAAAGATGGAAAGATCCATCTAGAGAAGTCAAGGTATGCTATGCAAGTTCTCTATGATCCAGTGCGATCAAAACAGTTGCATCATGTTTACCAAGATGGTCGAGTGACTATGCAATTTGTTGGTAAAGCAGCTGGAACAGAAGTAGACATTCTGTTCGACAGCGGTGCAAGTACCAATTACGTGTCTAGTGCTTTTGCTAAGATGCATGGCCTAACCGTAAAAACCAGTGAGACTAATGTGCGGTTGGGCACAGGGACTAGTGTCTCCGCCCAGGGCGAGTGCGCTGTGCATATCAAGCTGGGCGATTATCAAGACAGAGTGGAATGCTATGTCCTTGATATGGTAACGGATTTCCAAATGATACTTGGAGACACGTGGCTAAACATGGTAAAAGCTACCTTCGATTATGACAGCAAGAAGTGCGTCATTCGAAAGAATAACAAAAGGTTTACTCTCTCGTCTAGCACTCGCTCTATGCTTCGTCTTAGATTGTCTTCTCGTGGTAAGAGGGCGCCGCCAATGCTTTTTGCTATGCAGGTGAAGTGGGCGCTCAAGAAGGGCGATCAAGTAATGATAGTTCAACTCAGCGAACTGAAATTTGACTCTCAGATCCCTGCAGATAAGAAGCTGGCTGAGTTTCTGAAGGAGTACGAGGATGTCTTCAAGCTGGAGTTACCTCGTGGGCTGCCTCCTGAGCGGAACGTGGGTCACTCCATTCCAGTGGAACCGGGTGCCCCGCCTCCGTTTCGGCCAACATATCGGAGCCCAGTGGAGCAGGCAGAGGTTAAGTCGAAGCTAACCGATCTTTTGGAGAAGGTTTGGTTGAGCCGAGTACTTCTCCTTATGGTGCACCAATCCTGTTTGTTGGCAAGAAGGATGGTTCTTTACGTATGGTTCAGGATCATCGTTACCTAAACAAGATTACGATTAAGAATTGGTACCCTCTTCCCAGGATTGATGACTTGCTCGACAGTATTTCTGGTATGAAATACTTCACCTCCCTTGACTTGACGTCTGGTTATTTTCAGATTCGCATCACAAAGGAAGACGTTTCGAAGACGGCTTTTCGGACGCCTTTTGGTTTGTATCAGTTCAAGGTGTTAACTTTTGGGTTAACGAATGCACCTGCTACTTTCCAGTCTGTAATGAACGACATGCTCAGGCCCTACGTTGAGAAGTTCGTCGTTGTGTATCTGGATAATATCCTGATCTTCAGCAAGACAGCTGAAGAGCATCTGTCTCACCTTAGACAGGTTTTATAGACGTTAAGGGAAAACCAGTTTATGCAAACCCGAAGAAGTGTGACTTTATGAAGGAAGAGATTTCTTTCCTGGGTCATCGGGTTAGCGCTAACGGTCTCAAGGTTGACCCGGAAAAGGTTCGAGCAGTGGCTGATTGGAAGGTTCCAAGAGACGTCCATGATGTTCGTTCATTTCTTGGGTTAGCGAGTTATTTTCGAAGGTTTCTTCAAGGTTATTCAAAGATGGTTGTCCCGCTAACCGACTTGACCAGGAAGGATATGCGTTTTATATGGACCAGCGAATGCCAAGAGGCATTCGAGAAGGTTAAGCACGCCTTGACTAATGCACCTGTCTTGGCGCCCCCAGAGTTGGGAAAACCTTTTGAAGTGGTTTCGGACGCTTCTGGTGTTGGATTAGGGGCGGTTTTGTTACAGGACGGACGTCCGGTGGCTTTCGAAAGCAGGAAGCTTTCTCCAGCTGAACAGAATTATACCGTTACCGAACAAGAAATGCTTGGAGTGGTCAATGCTTTGAAGACCTGGCGATGTTATTTGGAAGGCAGTGATTTCACCGTTGTGACAGATCACTGCCCCGATACCTTCTTCGATACTCAGGTGAACCTGTCAAGACGGCAGGCTCGCTGGTCAGAGTTTCTTTCCAGATTCAAATTTGATTGGGAATACCGTCCTGGAAGGACGAATGTTGCCGATCCCTTGAGTCGAGATCCCTTACAGTCAGTCTTGCTGTGCTTTATGAGGGGGAAGAAACGAGCCGGGGGAAAGGGGCTGCAGACCCGGACCCGCCGTGGCGCCAACGAGCATGTATCTTCAGTTAAAGTTACCAACCCTGATGTTTCCGGTGTAGATTTGCTGGAGTTGTTCAGGGAAGGATACGTGGCTGATGCTTGGTTCCAATCGAGTGACAACCTGAATGGGTTCGAGTATTCGACTGAAGATGGGTTGTGGTATTTCGACAACCGGGTGGTTGTGCCTGCTGGTGCATCTTGTGAGAGAGTTTTAGAGGAAGCTCACGACTCACCTTACAGAGGACATTTCGGGAAACACAAAGTTTTGCACCAGATTAATCAAAACTTTTGGTGGCCTGGTTGGAGGAAGGATGTTGAAGGTTATGTGTTCGGTTGCCTTGTGTGTCAGCGTAACAAGGCTCAGACGGTTAAGAAAGCAGGGTTATTGCAACCGCTTTCTATACCGAGCTTTGAGTGGGAAAGTGTGAGTATGGATTTCATTACTCAACTCCCCGTAACCAAGACAGGTTATGACGCTATTGCTGTGTTTGTGGACAGGTTAACCAAGATGGTTCACTTTGTCCCGACTTACACGGACTGCTCGGCAAGGGACGTAGCTCGTCTGTTTAACGACACAGTCTTTAAGCATCACGGATTGCCTTTAGAACTTATTTCGGATAGAGATCCCCGGTTCACATCTAAGTTCTGAACTGAGTTGACTCGCTTGTTGGGCACAAAGCTCAAAATGTCAACTGCTTTCCATCCTCAGACAGATGGTCAGACGGAGAGGTCTAACCGAGTTCTTGAAGATTATTTAAGGCATTATATCAGTCCCTCTCAAGATGACTGGGATGAGTGGTTGCCTCAGGCTGAGTTTTCGGTAAACAACGCTTGGCAAGAATCTATCAAGAACACTCTGTTTATGCTTAATTTCGGACAGCAACCGCGTACACCTCTTAATTAGAGCGGTGGTAGGGAAGTTCGTGTTCCCCAAGCCAGTAACTTTGCGAGAATCTTGGAAGAGAATCTGGCACGTGCCAACGCTTCTTTTCATGCGGCTCGGTCTCGTCAGAAGTTATTTGCTGACAAAAAAACGTCGTGAAGTGGAGCTGAAGGTGGGACAAGACGTCTTACTTTCTACAGTCAACTTCAAGCTTGTGCATCCAGGGACGCGCAAGTTGTTGCCCAAGTGGGTAGGACCGTTCAGAGTAATCGAACGGATTGGCAAGGTCGCCTACAAGGTAGAGCTTCCGCCAAACCTTAAGATGCATAGCGTGTTTCACGTTCAACTTCTGAAGGAGTATCGAAGTAATGGAAAGGTGCAGCCGCCCCCACCTCCCATTGAAATCGATGACTCATTAGAATATGAGGTGGAACGAGTACTCGGACACCGCGAAGTTAAACGTGGTAAGGGAACCAGAAAAGAATTTCTGGTTAAGTGGCTCGGATATGAGCACGAACATAATACCTGGGAGCCAGAGAAGCATCTAACACACTGTGAAGATCTTTTCGCAGATACTGGGCTGATGTTGCTACTTCTCCACAGGGTGTACGAGAGAAGCAAGCAGAGCTCATGAAGAAACGGAAAGCAGCGGAACTGGAACGGAACCGCTCCGTTGAATAGACTGCAAGTGAACCTGCAGGTCGTAGGAAAGTTTCTACAAGACGTCGATGAAGTCATCGAACGGTGGACTAGAGCTAGCCCACAGAAAAGAGTTCAAGATAAAGTGTGTTTATAACTAACTTCCATCTTTTTTTCTGCAGGGTGAGGTAGGTCCTAGTGGCGGTTGGTTGTTATCACCTGAGGACTAGACAGTACTCGAGTGACGGCAGTTAATCGTCACTGAGACTTGTCATCCGCTTTTGGTGCTCGGGTGTGTTCCCCTGCATGCTGTATCGTCAAGTAAGAGTTGACGAAATACTCGAGGTTCTCTAAGTAACTTTGGGTCGAACCCACAACTTGTTAGCTCGAAGAATCTAAACTTTATAGACTTGTCGAGACAGGTGTCTCCTGGTGATCTTCGATTAACAACCGTCACTCTAGGTGGGGGGCGTTCCGGGTTAAACTGACCCCCCTGCCGACTCGTCCGAGCCGGTTCCTGACTGGATGTGTGGCTGTGACGACGGGGGAGTGTAGTCCGTGGGCTTCGAAGTGCGCCCCGGGGTGGGATCCGATCACGAGCCCCCCTCCTACGCTTTTGACAGGTGACGAAAATTCTGCACGAGTTTTTAATATTCTCGTGGACAGACGTAGCCACTCTCCTTTCTTTTAACCAATGGGTAGAGCGTTTGCTCACTGGTCGAAGGAACGGGGAGGCTTTTGTTAAGTGTGCCTAACCGAGTGGTTACGCACCTGTTTATGTCTTTTGTTAAGACAGCAGTGGCTGCCCTGTGGGATCTTGGACGCGTGGTAAGATACCATGCTTCTATCAATCCAGGATCCCAGCGGCAACTTTTGTTAACCAGGTGGTTGACGGTAAACCAAGTGGTTAGTGTTGTCTTTTATTCGAATAAGTGATTTTGAATTGACAACATGTCACCTCGTCCAGTGAGGCTTCAATCTAGTGGCAACGCTACAAGGCTGAAGCCTCGCTGTTCGAGGAACTTTTGTTAGCCAGAGGCTAATGAGAAAGAGTTTTACTAACCAGATAGTTAGTGTGATCTGTCAATCGAATAAGTAATTTCGTAAAGACAAGAGCAACAGCAGGAAGCGGGGAAGCAACGCTTTTTACTTCTGGTGTTAGCCAGGTGGGCTACCACAAGTAACCCTTTGCTAACCTCTTGGGGTAGTAATCGGTACGCCGGTCAGCTGTTTGCTAACCTTTGTGGTTATCTATTAGCAGGCGCTCGATGCGCACGACCGCGTGCTCTGCAGATGGCAGATCGACGATAGTTATCGACGGATGTTGATATCGGCGGTCTAGAAACTTTTGACGTCGCGTGACGCAAATTTCTAGCCCACAAGGACCTGGGATCGATTCTCGGAGGTTCATATACTTGCCTTTTGAGAGGCACAGTATCATTGGTCAATATCTGGCAAAGCCCGAGGAGCCGGTCTGGTGCGGCCGAAGTGGTACCAGACCGACTCCAAGGGCCCTGTCAGAAATTGGTCAATGACTTTTACAGGTGATATAATCTTCCATTACTTTTGCGATGTGCTCCCCGGAGATTCGCACTAGAAGGGAAGATTTGTAACGGGCTACTATACCACCTCTATACTTAGGGCAACAGTCCCATAGGTATTCCAGGTGTATGGTCGCCAGAGTTATGCTCGACAGGTGTCTAGCATATCACGTGACTTGACGTTCGCTCGCGCGCGCGGCTGCGTCCCAGCGCGTACAGTTATAGGATAGATTCCTAAGTCTTGCATAGTTTGTCAAGTAATTAGATACGTACATCTGGCTACTTGAGTTCAAACTATAACGGGTCGTAGTCCGAGTCTTGCTTGTGCACTGGTAGTGCACACTCAAATTCATAGACTGGTGCAGTGCCATCGCTTATGGAATGCACACTAGTAAGCAGGAGCCTGCTAGACTCCCAAGTGGGAGAGGGGATGGCTAAGTAGCCTGAAACCCACCAAAGGTGTAACCTTTACACCACCTCTCTCTGGAAGTTTATCAAAGTGCGCCTCTAGGTGTTTTTCAGCATCCAAGGTGCCTTCGTCAGGGACTCTTAGAATTGGTGCCGTCACACCCAACCCTTGCGCCAGTAGGCACTTCTGCCATAGCAAAACCTAGGGTGCCAGCGTGTTCGTGCAGCGTTGCTGCTGCTTGGCGCCTCCTCCCCAAAAACCTCAATACACGTGACCTCTTACACCCGTTCACTGTTTATTTTAGAGACTTGCTGTTGACTTGTTCTTAAAAAGTGTCACTCTGGCAGCTTAGACACCCTCTCGCTTTTGGGTGCTCACAGAACAAGGTTTGTTCGCCCCGGCAAAGGCACTTGCACGCAGTTTCATACCAGTTAACTCATACACGCGCGCGCATCCGGCGACTCGGTTTGACTTTTCGCTCCAGAACTTAAGGCGAAAAGTTACGTAACCGGCGCCTAACCCTTAAATAAGCGTCCGAGGTATTCGGTATTTAAGGCCTAGGAACCGGGACCGAGTCACTCTCTTTTAAGTGGCTACCGAATTGATGTGGCACAACCGGGCTGGCTGGAACTTGCATCTGGAGGCTGGGGGTCCGACCCC